CCTACTAGTTTTTGCCACTAAAGACCCCATAAAAAGAATCAAACAAAACACCCCAAGACCGATCAACAAGCACCAACACCCCAGAATCAACCACAAAAACAGCACAACACCTAAAAGAAAGAAGACAAAATAGTCCTCGCAGTGCAAACTTAAATTGCAGCGGATGACGCACAGTAGAAGAACGATGCTTCAAGACAGACAAGAAACCGGGGGGCGGGGGGGGGGGGGGGCGCCCGCGGGGGGGGGCGCGGAGGGGGTGGGGAGGGGTGTGTGTTGTGGAGGGGTGTGAGGCAGAGGGAGGGTTGGGGGGGGGGGGGGGGGGTGGTAGAGGATGAAGAGGCAGGGGTGGGGGGGGGGGGGGTGGGGGTGGGTTAAGTAATTGACCAATCCTTTTTCATTGCAGTCTTATGAACCAAGGTGGTTCAAATTATCTACGGGCCTGCTGTCACAGCGGCTGTTGAACATCGTTCTTTGCTCTCTATTGTCTATTATATACACCGGCCGCCTCTTTTCCCCCCATAGCCCCGCCCCCACCCCTCTCTCCTTCTTCCTCCCTCTCTCTCTCTACTCCTCCCCCCCCTCCCCTGCCCCCCCCCCCCTCATTCCCCGCCCTCTCTTCCCCCCCTCTCCCCCCCACCCAAACCCCCCCCCCCCCCCCCCCCCCCCCCCTCCCTTTTGTTATTATTCCTCCCTCTTTCCCTCTCCTCTATTCATCTCTGGCCGGTCTCTCATAACGTTATGCTCTGCGAGCATCTCTCTCCTAAACCACTTTACCGAAGCACCACGTACCTCCATCACACTCCCACGACATGAAGCATGGAGCCCTCCTTCGCCATAGCTATATGGCCATGGCTACGATAAGCAGTCCCTTTGGCTGACCTGCCGGAGTCGCGGCAAATGGTCTACCGCACTAGTCCCTTCCGACGGTCTCCGCAAGTTCCGGACCTCAGCAATGGGGCACCTCTCACGTAAAAAGTCTGCGTCCTCGCCCTTCTCCCCCGTTCGCTCGTCAGGCCATGCTCTCCTTCAAGGAACGAAAGCAAGCAGACAGTCATCTCGTTGCTTCATGGCCTGTCGAATTATGGTCGGGATCAGTCTGTTGCCGGAAAAGAACAGACGGAACTTCGACCTCAACACCCATCGCTACTCGTCATCCCAAAGGGCCATCATTAAGACTACGGGCAGAACCCACCACCTTAGGGGTCCGCACAGACGAAGACAAGACCAACGCAGGTACATCAGCGACAAGGCGACATGAACGGCGCAATATGCTAGTTGGCAAAGAATCGCCTGGTGAGCCTTCTTTTCTTTCAGGGATAAAACAAGAAAACAACTGTGTCTGGGGGGCCCAGACAGCAACAAAGACACGCATATGACCGCCCCATGGCTCCTCTCATTCCGTCGCCAGCCTCCTCAGAGACGACGCGCCATATTCATACACTCTCCAAAATACTTCAGCATTGAATGGATGCAACAGATGCAACCTGCCTTACCCAGGGAGTCGAAGCCAAATAGAAAACGCCCAAACGGATGCCATATTGCCCCGATTTGTAGCAGAAAAAAGGCAGTATGTGCAAGGGGGCAAAGAGCAAGAAAAAAAGGTGTTTATACAAGTGGTATCTCGTGACGGCTCATGGCCGCCGGAAAAACAACAGAGCGATGGACCCGAAAGCGAATATGGGAACGGAGGGAACTCGATACAAGTACAAGAGGCGGACGACTTGAAGGCTCGTCCGTCTCACATGGTCAAAAATGTCAATGGACCAGGAATTTGGGCTTGAATGCCGCCTCTCTCGGCGTTGCGAAAGAGGTTTACACCAAGGCGGATGAAGCGAAGTATTATCGACCACGACCGCTAGGGCGGAGGGAAGTCATTCCTCATTGCGGACGTCTTTGCTGCGGGTCTGGCTTCTCGAGCAGGCCACCGATATCAACCCGTCCGGATCGATCATCCCGTTGCCAGGAAGAGGACTCGGGTTGGGGAGGTTGATGTGGGCTGGCTCGGATCGGGGGCAATTGGAAAGATGGCTGTGGCGGCCGAGTGGTCGGCGGTAGTTCACTACGGGGGATCTGGTACGATGAGGGCCCGCTGGGATACTCAGGTCGGCTGGGCGAGGCTGCATACGAGGGCATGCCGGGACTGGTACCGGGGCTTAAGCCAGAAGCCGCATGCAGATGTTGGCCTGGGGACGGACGCGGCGCGAGTGCGCCGTCTCCGAACCGAGGTCTCGCCTGGTCAAACGTCGCGGAAACGGGGGTATGTTGCGCATACACTTGCTGTTGTTGGGGCGGATAGGAATACGGCATCTCGCGAGCACGCGGCGATGGCGAGGGATATGGATACCGCGGCACAGCGTTAATGAGGATGACGATGAAGTAAATCGATTCACGCTTGGCCAGTCCCAGGCGCACGGAATACGACCGCGGCTGCCCATCGCTCCCCGCGAAGACAAAGAAGTCTTGCCGGTCTAGCTGGAACCGCGAAATCTCGTCGGGCTCGAATCGCAGAGAGTCAAAAACACGCTCTTGCTCCTGCCTGCCGAAAATAGGAGGTAGGTAGACGGGGTCTTTTCTCGTTCGTTCTTCCTGGATTTGCCGTTGGTGGTTCTGGAGCTTTTCGCGCTCAGTAGGCACCACGATGTCGAAGAGGGAGCGGCCTCTGAGGTTGGGAATTCCGACAGCATCAGCAAAGGCCGGTGAAGCACGCGCAATCTCTAGCTCCGTTGTGAGGAAAATCACGGGCTCGGGCGCTCCGGAGGTGAGAGACGGGGGTTGGCTGTACAAATTTGCTTCGCCCAGGGGAGCTCTGTCCAGATATCGAGGCGCAATGGGTTCGCTTGGTTGAGACTTTAGAACGCGATAGGAGTGACTGCCTCGGACGGGGTCATCGTACCCTGAGATGGGAGTGCCAGCCGAGTAGTGGCTCAGTGGCGGTCTCCTTGCTGCCGCCGCCGCAGCATCCTGGGGATGCTGATATGTCGAGGGGCCATAGCGGGCTTCTCGGTCGTCTCTCAGCCGCGGGCGGCCACGTTTCTTGTGTTGCACGTCGACGCAAGCGTCTTCCTTGCCGTTGCTTGTGCATCTCGAACAGGGACGTTGAGCTATTTGTCGCAAGAGCAAGTCAGCGAAACTGTCATCCGCGAAGAGAAAGCAAGCGCGTGATCCAGAACTGTTGCAAGTGCAAAGGCGGCACTACAGGTCAAACAAGAGCTGATGACGTCTTCCAACGGACACTTGCTCATCAGTCGCGTGGCTTAGACACTGGTTGCTTTTCCTACCCCAGCTGCCATGCGTCGCATCCGACACGTCAATGACACGCTAGTTCTGTCCACTTGGATCATCCTGCGACCAGACCAGACGAAGCAGCGATCGACCATCCCAGTCCACCCAGAAAGCTCTTGTGAAAGGGAAAATCGTCTCCGCTTCTGTTTCAGACGTGGCATAATCAACAGCAACCACACCCGCTTCAACGACACGCGATTGGCGAATTCACCGCATTCCCAACCATAATCAAAGATTCGAGGGTCGCTCCCGGGGAGGCCGGCTGTTACCCGCCAATCTTCCCAAAATACCGGGCCGGCATTCCGGAGCGAACGGGTCCAGAAACCAGACGGTGCAAGACGGTAGTGGTTGGATAGATTGGGAGGGTTGGCCGATCTCTTGGTTGCGAGAAGTTGAGGAGCCGAGAAGCCCGGCGCGGAAGTCCGGCCAAGGAGCACTCTGCTGACAGGACTGCCAACCAGTCCTTGGGCTCACGGACACCACACAGCCCAAGACTTGACAGCCTTTGACGGCATGCGCCATCCCATTCAACGCAACCATCTCAACTCTCCGTCCGAGTTTCTGCGAATGATCCTCCCATACGGGATCCTCTTCCCCTCAGCATCGGTCTCAGGTCAAGGGGTTGATCCCTGCGCTGCTTCGAGTGTCGCACACACATATGTCTTGCTAGGTTAATGCCGCGTCCAGATTCACCCTCGGAGCCTCTGGACTGGTAATGATGTCAAGCATCTCAGAGAATCGCAGCCGCATTCGCCCAAGGCCTGCAGCGCTGGCTCCTTGCAGCCCGCAGGGTTTTCCTCTTTTGATTGACTCCCAACCCGAAGAGCATTGCAAAAATGATAACATAAAGAAAAACGCAAAATCAAAATTGGCTGGATCGCCTGTCGTACGTACCGTCGCATCTAAACAAAAAGAAAATGTCAGCGTCACCGTATCAAAGTATCACCGCGCATTTCACTTGGGACATCTGCAGGGAGTGTGGTTGAATTACCGAAGATGGGCTCTCTTGCATGGCACACAGGCTGATGCCACATGGCCCTTTGTCTTTCTTTGCGTCTTGGGAGACGTGTAGGGACCGCTGTCCTGGGATGTCTGCGACATGGCTGTCGCATAGCCATGCTGATGGGGTCCTGTTGGCTGTGGTGGCGGTGGCCCAGACAGTTGCATGTAGGGCGGAGGAAGCCGCTGCTGCAAGGCCTGGCTTGCCAGGTGTGCATATCCGGATGGAGCAGTGCGCAGGTGGTCGTCGGGTCGAGGATATGAATGAGGCATTCTATCCTGCTGTTCGGCGTGATATGATCGGGGCTGGGGCGGCGGCAGGGAATGTGGTAGAGGCGCAGGTCCTCTGAAGTCGCCTTGCGGTATCGTTGTTGGCGGCAACCTCCCCCGGTAGGCATCTTGCGGGCTGGTAGATGGATAGTTGCTATGCAGTTGCCCTCTGTCACCAGCCTCTGGATTTGGCTTGGGCGGAAGGGGAGGAGACCCTGACATGGGCGGGGAAGGATATGCTCTGGGTCGAGCAGGAGTCTCTGACTCTGCTCTTGTTGGCGTTGCCCAGGTCAGGTCGAGGGCGAATCGCGCCAGATCGGAGATGCCTCGGCGCTGGCCGAGCGAGGTAGACGACGTATCGCAATCGCTGTTTATGGCTTGCATGGATGTTGATGCAGCTTCACTGGGCGTCCGGGTCGAGAGCTCCCCACGTCTTCGTTCAGACGACGCCTCGTTTCCCAGACTGTTGCGAAAGACCGGAGCTACCGCGAGACGTTGTCAGTCTGCCGTACGCTTTTACCGAACCTGTTGGGTTTGTGGTTGCGCCTTTTGGCTTGCGCCAGGTCTAAATGAAAGGAATATTCCTTCCGTTGTCAGGTTGGAGATTTTGCTGGTTCCGCTTTCCAAACACCCTTCCTTCCGGTCGGACCAGTTGAAAACTCCTACGCTTATCCACACACACACACAAGACACACCGATCTCGGTGGTAGGAAGAGAGCTATTGCGTGGTTTCCGAAGAATAATCGATTTGGCGAAAAGCGAAAGTCTGTACCAGCCAATATTCCAAAGACAAGGCAAGTTCGCCCGATGTCTTTAAACAACTCGACCGGACGTTTGTGCTAGGTGTGAGACGCGCAGATGAAGCCGATCCAGTGGTTCTAGGAAAGCAGGCAGAAGATGGAGCGTCCGCTGCTGTGAGATTATGCGGTTTCTGTGGCGGGACACTCGCACAACGATCCTCCAAGGTCCAATGAAGCTCCTTGCGGCGATGCTGGCGGTTCGTCGAGCGCGATGCTGATGCGGGCGGGCAGTTGCAGGAAGTACCACGACGGAACCTCAGGCACGGGATGCGGAGATGGATGGCTGGACACCTGCGTACCGACGACCTGTCTTTGGATACGGATGTATAAGCGATGGATAAAAGAAAGAGAAGGGCGGGAGTAGAGAAAAGGGAGGAAGACGATGTAGATCTAGTCTATCCCTAGCCTCTTTTTGTCTCTCCGATTCTCTGTCCTCTCGGCGGCCGGAATAAAGAAGCGTTATTTCTCGAGGGCTGGATACGTTGGAAAGTAGGACCCATAAGCTCTTTTTTTTTTGGGAGCAGTCGATCGGTGGCTCCCGGTCGGTTTTTGTGTGACTGGAGGCAGGCTTGCTGAACCTACAAGGGGAGGGGGGCAATTGAGATGAAGCTAGGGTGTGGTTCAGGGTTGATCTGGACGAGGGAAAGGTAGGCCAGGGGAGGCCCTAGTCGACGTCTTTAGAGTGGCTGCTAATCAAGGGTAGAAGGCTATGCCATCACGATCCCCTGTTCAACGACAATTCTCCGCGCGTCTGTGTGTGAGAGAGGTGTGTGAGAGGTGTGTGCGAGTGTGTGCAGCAGATTGGGATGAGGTAAGGTACAATGCTCTCTGCTATGTATACCGGTATGTCTTGAGGGTGAGGGAATGGGAGGGGGCGTGTGAAAGAAAAAGGACAGAGTAAGAGAGAATGTGCAAGTGTGCGTGCGAGAGAGAGAGAGAGAGAGAGAGAGAGAGAGAGAGAGCGCGAGAGAGTGTGAGAGCGTGAGAGTGTTGTAGTAAAAAAATAAAATAAAAAATAAAACATCAACGGGTAGTATTGCCAGCCGTGGGCAGCAAGAACAAATGAGCAGTGACTTGATGCAGTACACAAGCCAGGGAGGAGATGATAATATTGGTTGGCGGCAGCGATGGCGATGGTAGCGCTGGGTCTGAGGGTTCCTGGATGAGATTAAAACAGGCAGGTATGAAGCCACAACGTAATAAGACAGTGGGGGAGACAAGAGTCAGTCCAGCGAAAGCCGAGGGACACAAGATCCGGACACGGGACGGGACCGCGGGTTTGGCCAAGGCCAAGGCCCAAGGAGAAAAAAAAAACAGGCCGAGTGAGAGCTAGCAGGACTAGAGAGGGGACAGAGAAAGAGGATGCAATAATAATTTACGGTGAAAACCAAAAGGGCTTCATTGTGCTGCCGGCTATCCCTCTCTGTGTCTTCTCTCTAACTGCTAACCAGTGACGATCAGTACATAGTATGCAGCGTGCAGAGTGCCAAATTTGATTGGGGATGCGAAGGAGGGATGGTTCAGGTGGAAGTGGACAGGGAGGGGTGGACGTTGTCTCGAATATCGGAGCCGGTAGCAGATGGCAGATGGCAGGTTGGGTACTAAGGTATAGTATGTACATTGTAGCCGGGAGCCAGGAAGGAGGAAAAGCAGACTGACTGGTGGATAGGGATGGGGATGGATGGATGGGATAGGTATGCCAGGATGGGATGGGACGGATGGGTGGATGGTACCGTGGGTACCTAAGGTAGGCGAGCAGGTAAGGTAGATGGAGGGGGGAGGCAAGAGGTGAGGGGCGGGGGCAGGCAGACCCCGGGGGTACTCTTCAAAGGAAGGTGTACAGACACGGATGCACTACCTTAGAAAGGGTATGTAGTAGAGATCAAGCCGGGATCAAGACAGGCAGCGGGAGAGAGTGGAGGAACTGTAAGATTGACTTGATATTGATTGTATTGAAGCAAGTACCAGGGAGGAGAGCACCTAAGGAAGGCATCGGAGCGGACGACCCATCTTCTGTGCTACACTTTTCATTTCTCGCGTGCCTTGTAGATAGAGAAAGAGGCATAACTAACTTGGGATAAAGAACATGGAAAGCAGTTTGACAGCCCAGGTGCCCATATTCAGTGCTCATTCGTAGAGGTGAGGCAGGACGAGACGAGACCGTTCAAGCCAGGTAAAGTGAGGTACGTATTGATGGAACGCATGGCAAAGCTCGAGCCACCGCGCACAGGTTTGAGGCGGTGGCTGCTGATGCTCATGGTGAACAGTATGATGCTGGTGGTGGTGGTGTCGGTAACCTAGGGTCCAGGGGTTTAGGTATGTACTGGTATCCGTAGGGGAAGAGACAGATGAGCGGACGTGGGTGCATGGAACGGGGCCACGGAGGAGGGACATGGGGGAGAAGAGGGAAAAGCACGACGAGAACCGGGGGGGAAGGGGGGGAGGGGGGTGGATGCAGCAGCGCCGACGGGGTCGAAAGAAGGTTGTGGGATATGTGGAGAGGCGAGCGGAGGGATCGACCTGCGAGCGCAACAGAGAGATGAGATGACGGGCCGGAGATGGTGGTATTGGATGAAAAGGAGGTACACGTACGAAGTTGCAGGGCACAACGGGCCGGCCGTCAAAGAACAAGCTATAATAGCAATGTGGAAGATTTGCTGCTGAGATATTGCAACTTGTGAAGCCGATGAGGATGGAGAGGGCCGCTTCCTGAGGAGGTGAGGGAGTCGGCCATCCTCGTCAGCTACGGTACTACCAACTCGCAGATACCTTACATACCATGAAGTGCCGTCTCCGGAGACGTTGTAAGGCAAGGTACGCCCGACAACGGGTAGGAAGGCAACGCCGCAACGCAACTGATTATGCCAAGGTAGGCAAGTGAGGCAAGGACATCGAACATGCTCCTGCTTGCGGATGGAATGCGGCTGTGGCAGGCAGCGTGCGTGGCAGCGGAAGGAGAAAAGGTGACAGGGCGTCTTCTGGTCCTATCCACGTTCGTTCTCTCCGAGCTTGGCTTGTCCTTGAGCTTGTCCTGCCTGCCCCCGTCTCTTTTGTGAGTCGTCCTGTGCCGTCCGATGTATTATCCGTCCGCGTCCGCGTCCGCGTCCGAGCCCTGGCCTGTCATCATCCTTGAGCGGCTCGAGGCACGTCCGTCCTCCTGCCTGTCTGTCTCGGATGGGCCCTCTGAGTTGTCGATACGATGAGAGACATGATTAAGGTATCCGTGGACTGGGCAGGGAGGGTGTCTTAGAGTCTTAGCGGCCACTAGGTGGCACCTCAGCAAAGACACACGGCACGTTGCACTCTAGCGCTGCGCCAGAAAAACGGAAGCGGATGTAGACTGTGGGCTAGGTACGGATAGCTCAGCAAGCACATCAGCTGGGCCGAGGCCTGTCCTCGGTGTAGGCGGATGCTGATGTCCTGGCAATGCTGCATACAAGCTCAGCTAGGTCACTATCAGCGTAGGATCCGTGCCTCGCCTCATTTCAAGCTCTCCCCACAACAAAGCCCTTCAATACCATGGTACACTGTGGCGTAAACGCAAAATTCTCAATTGACGGCGGTTACGGAGTACTTGACGAATGTTCAATCGATTGCTGTAGACCCCCAGCTTCCAAGCTTCTCCCAAGTCTCATGCTCGTTATGAAGGTGCCCCGAAAGGGAGACGTCCCATCTATTTTCAGTCACCAGGCGTCAGATTCTTGTCTCAACTGCAGATTCCGTCTCAGTCATGTTGCTCGGCCCAGCAGGAAGAGGGGAAAGTGAGAACAAAAAATGACCGATGCAATGAAGATGTTGTCCTGGGAATCTCGAGAAGGCAGTCAGTGCGGTCGATTGTCTCTTTCAACCACCTTCCATGGATAGTCCTTCTTCAGCGCGGCCGTTCTACAAATGAAATTTTACCTACCTCAGGGTATCCGTACCCGTCCTGTAGCTGGCGGCCAGGCCGGCCGGGCAAGGCGAGCAGACTTAACGGGGGCAGGAGGCTGAGATGGGGATGCAACTGGAGAGGGAGAGGGAGAGGGAGCTAGAAGCCACATCGCGATAGCTAGCTTACAGGCAAGCCGGGTTGAAGGGTCTTGAGGGTCGAAGTGCTACTAGAGGGGGGCAAGACGTTGTTGGCAAGGTCCAGGTACAGTAGGCCGTTGGCGAGGAACCTTGAAGAGCCAGCTGTCGCCGTTACTCCCCACCGACCATCCGGCCTAGGCTTGGGCTCCTAGCTCTTAGTTCGCCGTTGACGTGCGGCCGTGAGCTGTGCGCGCGCGCGAGAGAGAACTTGTGTGGCTGTGGTTGCGATCCTGACCATGGCCGTGGCCGTGGCTGTGGCCAACAACAGGGTCGTGCGCATGCGAGAAGGAAATGACTTGTGGACAGCAGAGTCCAGACAACCTGGATCGGGTGGCATGGCATGGTTGGATAGATCCGGCTGCGATCCACCCAAAAGAAAGTTGGGCCATCTGGTGAGGTTTTGGGTTGACCGCGGAATCCACGCCTGGACAGAATTTGCCTATTGTGTATCCATAATTGGTGTGTAAACATGCCGCATGGCAGCAGCAGAGCAATGCAGCCGACTCTTCTTGTACCTACCTGCAGCGTCAACCTCATTCGAATCTGTTTATCAAAGGGAGATACCAGGTGAGATCAAGGGCAGAAAGCCGGCGGGTACTTGCAATGGTAAATGCCGTACTCTGTACGGATGCGGAGTTTCGTCATTCGCATCGGCAAATCTACGCTTATTCGGATGTATCAAGATGCTTCGTGTCTACTGTGCCAGTCGCTGCGAAGAGGACGAGTGGTTGGGGATGACGAAGCCCAAGCCGAAGTAAAATTGCTGTGCAGCGGAGAAGACTAGACGTCACCTGCTGCCCTGCAGGGACTGGCGCAATGTAGCCATGACTTGTTCGACCTGCATACCAAGCCTCTCTAGACAAGTTCCCCCTACCTCGTCGAGATGATGCTCTTGTCTGGGTGCGGGCCACATCAGGTCATCTCCAGTTTCCGTCCGAACTTGTTGCAGGGATATCGGCAACAAGGAGCAGGTACGGATACATCAGGTCCATGAACAGGAAGCAGGAGCAGGAACAGGAACAGACCCGGACTGCTGCATGGCCCCATCTCGTACAGACAGGTACCTTGGTCAATCTGTCCATGGGGAAGTTGGAACGAATGCGTATCCGTACCTGCTGCTATTCTCCCTTGCTTACATACTTACTCTGTATCCGCATCGCGCATCGCAGAAACCCGCCAGCAGCAAGCAGCAACGACTGCGTCTCCTTGCACGGCCTGCAAGGTATTACATAGTAGGCGATAAGTCGATGGAAAGCCCATCCTCTTTCCCCCACCTCTCCATTTGTTGGTCTTTCTCGTTCTCGACTCTGTTGGCGCGAAAGGCGGTGGCTGCCACCTTTGCCGGGTTGCATATATGCGCCGCGGTCCCTGTCTCTACTACTCGTCAAGTTTGGAGTCATTATATGGCACCATGGCACCCACGGCAGCGTACCTAGTTCGCCTGTCGCCTGCCCCCTTGGCTTGGGGAAGTTGAGGTGCTCTGCCAACCAAGGCACTACCCATTTGCATGCATGCGGTACCGATCCAAACAGGGTCACACCTTTCAGATCTGGTGCAGGCCCCCTCCCACCCCTCTTCCTCAACATCCTTCCACCCACATATTCGTACGGAGCACATCGCTCCTCGCTTCGGCAAGGGGATCAATGCCATGGGTGCCAGGTGCGAAATATCAGCTGCACCAAGGTCGCAACGGTCAAATGCTAGGCCTGTCCTGGCATGTGCGCTACCCGCCCGGTCCTCGTCAACACCACCCTCGCCGCCACCGCCTCTCCGAGTCCCCTCTCCAGCACTCAGGCAACTTTACCCTGCCTTAGTACGGTACCGGGGCTGGGGGCTTGGAGTTCACTAAGGAAGCCTCCGAGAGAACAAGTCGCAGCGATGCATTCCGCACTGCTCAACGGCATCAGGTGGCTGAGATAGCGCAAGAAGCCGGTGCGGCTGGGTTCTGGGCCAGGTCCCCTAGATGAAGAAATGAATATGACGGTGAAACCACATTCTGTATCCGTATGTACCTGCCATACCCCGTTCCGTGATATCTCACAGAACCTATCCGTAGTCGTGGCTACTACGGATATTCGTATTGTAGTCGTCCTCGTCGCTCTCTGATCGCCACGTGAGAAAGATTTGTTTGAGTCACTATCCGTACCTTATGTTCTGTGGTAGGTACTGTAAGCATGGGAGCACGGTGGCACGTCACCAGTTTTGCACATGGGCATCTGGCCTATCAAGTTGCGAATCTTGTCGGCGTCACTTGTTGTCACCTACCTCTTGCATCGCATCAGCAGAGCAGACCTGCCTAATATATCCATCGTCTGCCCCTCGGTCGACATGCATCGTGGTCACAGAGGTACGCAGTAAGCATCAACAATTTGGTTTGGAGTGCCACTGTCAAGATCCCGCAAAGAAGGTTAACCGGCCCATCACCCTTAATATTATGTCTTCGGATGAGTCGCCCTTACCGAAAGGGGCCCTCTTGAACAACTAGCGAGGCATGTCGGCCAGAACCAAGAGACACGACGGAATAGCCATAGAACAAGCAGAGAGAGGGAGGGGGAATCCTCAGCATCCCTGTACGGCTCTACCACCACTCAGTACTAGGTAGCAACCTGATGCCAGATGTCGCCTACGCCATGCCAATCTCCAGTCCACAGTAGCGTGGCCATGTCGATACCGCGGTCCTGGCCATTAGCCATTGGACTTGATTGTGTTCACCCAGGTTCCGACCCAGGTTCCGCGCCACGGCCCACGTTATGCGGGAGCAGCTCAACTCGGGCTGGCTTTTTTTTTTTTTTTTTTTTTTTTTTTGCTGGCATTCTATTGCCTGCAAAAGGCAAGCCCAAGAGGTGGTGCTAGAGCCGTAGGCCGTGGCAAAAGGGCCGGTCAACATCGAGACCACACCATTAGAACGCAGTTCATCGTCAGAACGCCGCCGTTGCGCACACGCTGTGCTCCTGTTCAACGACAGCGGTTGATTTGGGACGAACCGCCCATAGCGTCGGTTCGTTCGCAGCGTGAGCGGCCACACCGGCGGCGTCTGAGTGAGTACCCGCATGTCAATCAATTATTGTCAACCGAGTGCCGCTAGTCGGAGAAGCCACATGGTTCTTCGATTTCTTCTGGGCCCGGCAGGCCGCAGAACCTCTCCAAAAAGGAATGGTAAATTGCCCGCAGCTGTTCATGATGGCCTACTACAATGTATGTAGGTGGGAGTAGGCGCGTTGTCCCTCATCCATGATCCACCTCGTCCCCATCCCATCTCCCTTCGCTCGCAGGGCCAGGGCTACCTGCGAAGTTCAGGTGGTGCTTTGCGGCTTTGCCACGAATCTTGTTGTGCCTTTTTCTTGCCTGTCGCCCTGGGTCATTGCCTTTCCTTGCAGCACGTCATGTTCTAGAACTTGCCCACCTCTCCGATGCGGCTCGTCGTTCATCTCAAAAGCTACCCCGTTGTTTGACCGCCGCCGACAGACAGCAAGGCAGATCGATATCAGCAGATTGGTCCCGCCTTGTTTGCTAGGTAGTCCACCGGCGACGTGAAAACCCCGCTTGCCTCGGTGTAGCTTTCAGATTGCGGCTATGCACAGATACAGAGCGACGTCAAAGTTCACCAATCCACATGGCATTCCGACTCTTGAACTGGCTACTCGATCTCTGGAAGAACTGATAGCGGATAGTCGAGGTTGTTGGATCCGTGCTCAATGGCCAAACCCCAAGGAGCAGTGACCAACTAGGCAGTTAAAAGTGCCGACATCGCGGAAGCATTGCAATGGGGACAGCCCGTCTCAGGTTTCTTGTCCGCATAGCACCCGAGCTGCAAAACTCCAGTACAATACATACATAGTAGTATCCGTAGGTCTGAAGCGAATTGGGGATTTGCCTGCAGGGGTGTGGAAGGTGAGTACCGATTCCCACTACTCATGCAGGAAAACCTCGACACCACTTGGGGCCCTTGGGGGCGAGACGAAGCGTCCATGCATCGGTCGTATGCATGTTGTTCGCGTCATGCTTGCTGTTGACCTCCCGTTCGTTCAATCCTCTTGGCAACCATGGGATCTTCATGCCCCATCCGACATTTTCTGAGCCGCCGCCGTTAGTGCCCCTCCTTGACTTCTTGCCTGCCACCCTGCCTGGGTTTTGCCAAAAAGTCCACCAACGAGATGTCAGGATGCTTCTCGCACAAGACCCACCCCTCGACCTAATTCGGACGCGCTGATGTTACAGTGTCATCCCGGATAGGGACTCTGACACATGGGCGCTGAGATGAATGACCGATGATTTTCGTACTATGTATCCGCAGACAGCACATGATAGAAGCTCGTCGGCCTCATCTTCTCATGCATGGTACTCTGCGGCTCAGCCAGCATTTGTTCCTGGCAGGTATACGTAGTAATCGTTCGTTCAGAATCGAATTCGTTTCGACTCGATAGTGCTCATTTGCCTCTGGGGTCTGTGTCAGCCTGCATCGATTACAGCATATCGATAGGGCCGTCCCCTGAAGACTACCTTGGTCCGTAGTCCTTGATTCTTTACATGTGTTCCCGTTATTAGCTCTGTGCGGGATAAACTGATGCACTGGAAATTATAGGGCTTGGTCAGTGACGGTATGGTCGACTCAAATTGCCTCCAGATTGCCCTGTTAGTCTCCGGGAAAGCTTGCAGACATTGTCCCAGCTACGTGAGAGATCCGTCCGTGTCTTTCATGCGACGCATGGCGGCTTGTTCAAGTTCGCACCGCGCGCAAGCGCATCTCCCTTTTCGTTCGTCTGAAGAGTACATCCAGTTGGTCGGGCTCTTCTCTTCTCATTGGCTTTGTGGCTGGTGCCATTATCTCAACCTTGTCTAGGTATTTCATGACCCTACAGTATCAGCAAGGCGTGCCTGTTCCTACGGGGTTTGAATTTGGTCTCCCGGTCAGATGAGAACATGAGGTCCAGACAATACGATAAAATTGGCTTCATGTGGAGAACAGATGTCGTCGGCCAGGAACCCATGCCGTCGACCAGGCTAACGCGGAGTCGATGAGACCACTTATTGTCGGGTCAAATCTTGGAATTTCCAATCCAACGGTGAACTGGCTCGCCGTTAGAGGGCAAATTTGTGTGTCCGCTCCGCGGACTGGCATTTTACGTCCATACGGTGAGTATCTGCCCGCTCGGAAGGGAATGGTAGCCCGTTCAGGATAGCTTTTGTGCCGCAGTGGGTTTCATGTGTGCGCCCAATTGGAAGAACTTTTCTGATCCGATCCTAGCGCAAGGAATCCTAATGTCTGGATTCGACGCTGGCGCTCACCGAGCTTCACTTGGGTCTGGCAAAAATGCCGATCCGTAGGGCGCTCGGCTGGCATCTGCGTCCCGTCGTCAACGCAGGCGCTAGGTTGGCCCTGGTCTGTCGGCTGCCACACGCGCCGCATGTGGTCTTTTCCCATCCTGACCCCGGCAGTTATGCCTCCATGCTTGCCAGGTACCCTTCTTGAT